TCTTCTTCCTTTAAAAACAACAAAAAAGGCGCACCCCCCCGCATCGTGCAGCCCCCTTGCCCGTGGCTGCCGTGAGGCGGCGTGAGGCGAGGTGGGCCCCGCTCCTGCCTCCCGCGGGGGTAAGGGCCGGGGCCGCGGGGCTGAGCCTTCCAAACCGGTTGCAAGTTTGCAGTGGTGGATAGTGACAGCGGTGTGGCATCATCCTGCGTTACGTTTGCTTGCCCCGCCCGTGTGGTAGCTGGTTTTTGGACCCATGGTCACAGATGCCCGTTTTTAACTCTTAGTAATTCCTTGGTTATTAGCGACGCTTCCATGAAAACCTTGCACACTTAAATCTCCCTAAATTGGTAAAATCGTGTCAGCTTTGCGGTAATGAAATTGAGCTTCCTTTTCTTTGGTTAGCACTAGATGAAAGACGTCATCCAAGGACTGGAGAGGCCCCTTCCTTCGGGGTGTTCTCGCCCCTCTTTCAGGATATTGATTTTGTTGATGTTTAAAGGGACAGTGCCAGTATATAAATGGAAATAGCCTGTAATACTAACATTTGAATTTAAAGTTGCTGAATGCACTATACCAGCCCTCGGGTTTTCCTACCGGTCTTTGGGTTTATGTATGGGACGTCTTCCTGAGTTCAAATAAATGCATTTAAGAATATCCTCATCTCTGATTTTTCTCTTGGGGATCATCTGTGCCAATAAAAGGGTAAATTCGTTCAGATACGCGTGAAGTTGGTTTGGCTTGGGTTTCTGAAAGCAAATTTTGCTTTACATGCAACTGGGGCTAGTGACCAATAAAGGGATTTTAGGAACTGGAGACAGTTTGTAATGAGCGTGGTCAGCTGTAGATTAGCATCCATTCTGTAGATTTTTTGTGCCTGATTTTATTGTTGCTTATACTAAATAATTCCATTTGACTTCAGTTGAGTTAAACTGGTCTAATGTGCAAATAGCATCTTCTTTTAATACTCTAAAAATATTCTAAGTGTTTAGGTTTTTAAGAAAAACATCTCTGCTTTTCAGTCATTATTATATATGAGAGCGGATGGGAGCTTACCGGTCCATCGAAGTCCCCATGAGTGTTACAGGCATGGTGGGTGTATGGCAGCAGTTTCGTTAGACGTAACGCTCTGCCTTATTCCAAGAAGCCTTTTAAAGGAAGATTGAGCAGCCCATACTGTTACCCACCAAAAATCCAGTCTGCAAAACGTAACCTTTTCAATGGATAAGGACTGAATTATAAACCTTGGGAAGTTGTGCGGTATTCTGCTTGCCTCTGGCAGGGCAGTGTCAGGGAACCTGCCCGTCTCCCGGGCATGGACCCCGGGGGACGCAGAGAGGAGGCAGGGCTGGAGAGAAGAGGGAGCAGGCTAGGGAAAAACTCTGTCGTTTCAGCTGATACAGCTCTTCTGCTCAACAAAGTGCAACTGCCAGCCTGGGGTTGATCTGCTGTGAGAGAACTATTTCCACGTGCGGTGACGCTGTACGCCAGACGCGTTTTGCTTGAGTTCAGAAGCTGTGGTGCCCAATATTAGTTTTATGTGCTCAAGCACTTTTATCAGGGGGTCCATGGACCTTTTAGAGTTGTAAATGCTAGCTTGACTGCATAAGTGCAAGAATGCAAAAGCTTCTGCATAGGCGATCAGCAGAAGAGACAATGTGTTCCCTTAGGCAAAACCACCAGTTTCTTAACACCCCTCCCCAAACCAAAGCAGAAATAGAGTAGTGCTACAGAGCCTACTACTAGAGCCTAGACTATCACTGCAAAGTGGCTTTTCAGATTAAGCATCTGCCGTTATTTTATGCCCACACTGAAATAGGACTGCAGGAAGAGCCTGAGCCAGTGCTTATTAGTGGAAAGATTCCCGCTGAATTCAGTGGGCTTAGGCACAAACCTTATGTGACTGTTTGGAAATAAAGCATAACATGGGCAAGAAACCAGTTTTGATTACAAGCCTGTAAAATGAAACAACAAGTAAGTTTGCATTAAAATTTCATGTTGTAAAGAACAGAAGAAAAACCACCAAACCATTGCATGCTAAAGTATTTAATTCTTAGCAGTTCAGTGCTTGATGTTAATTCTGTTTTGTCCATAGGGGCCAGGAGAGTGCTGGAATTGTGACAAGTGATGGAGAGTCATCCCAGGCATTCAAAGTGCACAAGGTAAAACGTAGACGAAAGTTTTGTAGATGCCTAACTGAGATGCATGAAAGTTTGTTTCAGATAGGAAACAGAATAATTAGAGGGAAGGTAACATGTTTTGATGGACCATTTTGGTTTTGTCAGTGATAGTATCTAATTCTGTTATTTGTGCAATTGCCGTCTTAAGTGCATGTTTAAAACAAATATGCCAATGTTATCCTACTGGATGTACCCATGCACGTGGTAGCAGACACATAAAAATATCCAGATCAGGCTACCGATGTCACAAAAACTACTTGCCAAAGCCACCCCAGACCTAAGGTGTTAACTCTGGAGCACCAATGCAACTTGAGATCAAAAGAAAAGGGAAGACAGTTACAGGCTATGCACAAACAAATGGATGACTAAGTCTTGTGTTAGTGAGACTCAGGGAAGTGGCAGCCACTTTACCCATAGGTAAAAATAAACAGAATAAAAGACTGGATGGAGACCTGAGAAGGTCACGCAGTCTTTCTCGAACTGAGAGAATCCCAGGGGATGTTGAAAGACATAAAATGGCCATAGCCTCAAAAGTATTATGCCAGCAGAATACCTGCATGCTCTGGGGATATTTGTGCTCATTCTGTATTGAATAGCGACTAGGAAAAAATAATCAGCAGCCTCATCCTGGAAGAACAGAGAAATAACGAAGAGCAGGAAGGAAGGAAATAAGGAAGAGCAGGAAATAAAACTACATCAGCAAAATAACCATGGGGCAATTTTTGATGTGTGTTCTCTGACTGCAGTCAGAAAGCAGTTTATCTTCATGTTCAGAGGCCTGTGAGGAAGACTAATTAAGCTGTTCACATGAGTCTGAGAGTACAAACTGCTTTGCTGTAGCAGCATGTACATCTATGACTGCTCAATACCTCCTGCAAAAACTCATTGAGCATCACGTTTGTCGCCTCTTCAGGCATTTCCCCACTCCTATCTGTTACTTACAGCCTGATTCACACACACGCATGCACACACTTTCAAATGCAGCTTTTCTCAGCTTCAGCACCTTGTTATCTGTTCTTCATTCATGCTCTTGCTTGGGTTTCAGCTTTCCTTAACATTTACAGGAATTCCAGCTCCCTTTGAAGTGGGCTCCTGTATATATCCTGTAGTAGAAAGAAAGATCTCCTTAGAATGAACTTCCAGCAGGTGATACCATAATTTGTAGTGTTTCCATGTTACTGAGCTGCAATACTTAGCTGTCATGCTAAGAATTTAATCGACTGTCTCATCATATCAGCTTTGATAATTTAAGGAGTTGCAGAGCATGTGATGGTTTCTTTTATCCTTGAAATACGTTTCTCAGCTACAGCACTTTTAAAATCTGTAATAACCACAGTGTAATAAGGAGCCTGTGGAGTACAATTTATATGGCTTGTTTAATCCTGGAAGTGGTGCTAACATAACAAACATCTGGGTCTGTTACAATGGTGAAAATATACTTAGGACTCTGACTTGCAAACTAGTCCATAAAAATGTCAGCATCTAAGATGCTACTCTATCCATCTGTCCTCCAAACTCCGCTGACTCTTCTTCATAGCAGAGACAACAGGATGGAAAAGGTGCCTGCTTCTCACTGCATTGATTTACTACCCAATGCTTCCATGCAAACTCACGTTTGTCAACAGTTTAAGGCAATACATGTATCAGAGTATGCACTGGAACGCCTAAGGCATGGGTATGTGTTCCCCTCTGATTGTTACCAGCCTTTGACCACAGATTAATAGCCCTTGCAAAGGCTATTAATCCTTTGTTTTAAACTCTTCCAGAAAGACTTGTCCAGATTTGTCTGTCAGAGCCTTTCAGCTAGATTTGTATAACAAAACATTACTGTCGTAGCTCAGGATGTGGAAAAACTTAAATCTCTTGTATAGGCATAGCAATACCAGTAGGATAAAGGCTGTCAGATTGTTTCACACTTGGATATGCAGAAAAATATGTTAAAGTATTCATCAGGCCATTATCCTGTTCTGGCATGTACCAGGCATTGTATAATACAGACAATAAGATTGTCTTCATTGGGAACTTTTTATACTGGTGTAATTCACATACGCCATCCCACACCAGTGCAATCTAAATCAGAGGAATATTTCAAACTGCAATTAAAAGATTATCTACTTGTGTAACCAAATCTGGTTTAAAGCAACATAGCTTGTTTATGCTATTGCAATGCTTCACGTGGCCGCATCCGTTAATACTGGACCTGTGAACTGCCAGATCTCCTCTTAGGGTAAAGTTGGCCTAAGGAAAATAAGAGTGCATGGTAGCATTTCTGTGTGTATATGAGCACATGACATAGACACCAGACCACCTTTATGTCATCTGTGAGACAACAGATGATAATTGATCTGGCAAAGTTTGCTGAACAATTAAAGCAAACTTACACCAGTTTGATGGTTTGAGGCAGTAACTTTTTAATGTGACAGTAAGTGTCCTAAAACCACATGTGCAACCACAGCCTCTTGGCATTCTTACTCTATAGCAGTCACAGCAGAAAATACCCTACAGTTGAACTTTAAGTTCCTTTGGTTGAGCTCTGAAAACAGTCCAACCAGCTCCTAGAGGAGTGTTATCATGTGTGCTATCGTGTATATCACCGCTGCCACGTGTGATAGGGAAACAGAGCAGAGAAGGATGTTAATATTTTCCACAGGCAGTGGCAGAAGCAGGAGTTTGTAGGAGGGCCTGGGATCCAATCTTAATTTCTACTCTCTGTGCAGTTTTTTCAGACTATTCTTGCTGCTAAATTGTCTCCACATAGTACTTGTGGCCAAAAGAAGCTCCTGACAGCTGACTAAAAAGTTTTGATTCATTTCTGCTTCAGATAGAAGGCAACCTGGCTATGTGAAAAGTTTGTTTTAAGTAAAAAATAAAACCTCTTGAAAAAGGCTTTGCTTCTGACATTGGCAAGAATGACAGTAGAATCTAGTAAACATTATCATGGACCCAGTAGAAAAGTAAATCCAATATACTGCTAACTTGTAAAAGGTAATCTCTACATAGAATTTCCTTCTTGCAACTTTTTTCTTCTTTGCCTGTCTTTTGGCAGTCTTTTTTCTGGTGTTTTTAAAAAATACAACAGTTTGGTAGTGTTTTTCAGAAGATGTATTTTTAGTCAGGGAATAGATTGTTCCATGAAAATCCTCAGCACAAAAATGTCTATTGCTTTATTTAAAAACAGGAGTAAAGGGATCTGATATATCACTGTGATACCTATTCAGCTTCTTTCTTTCTCATGTCTTTTGCCTTTCTCTTAAAGTTGTTTGCATTAATGCTGTACCAAAAACAAACACAAGGAGAAATGAGGAAATTGCCAGGAAAACAAAACCAAGCAGAACTTCTTTTTCGTTTTCTCCCGAAGGGAATGGGTCTTATAAATCACGTCTTCAATGCAGACAGCCTGAAGAAGCTGTATGTTTCAAACCTTGGTATTGGGCACACAAGGTACTCCACCTCCGGAATTTCTGAGCTGCAGAACTGCCAGCCTTTTGTCGTAGAGACTCTTCATGGGAAGATTGCTGTGGCACACAATGGGGAGCTAACAAATGCTGTACGACTCAGGAGGAAGGTTAGTATCTCCTTTGGGAGACTCTGGCATCATTTCTTTCTGAGTATGAGGCAGCAATGAAGAGTAAGTTTGCTGTGACTTTTCCTTAATACCAAACTATGTGGGGTAGTGAGAGAGCCCCATAAAAAAAATCATTTTGGAAGAAAAAAATCTTGGAGAGGGGAGGCATTTGTAACTGTCACAGGGGATAATTTACCAATCTGCTACACTGATGGTCACATTCCTATTGATTAAGTGAGAAAACTAACTCAGCCATAACAAAAGGTAGCTCGGCTTGAAGCTCTGCTCTTTTGTGGTGGCTGATAGATGGAGCACATCATATGACTGTGCATTATAAATTGAAATATCTGGTTTGAATATTGTCTTTATTTGGTTTTCTGGCTTGCAAAATTAGTCATGAGCACTGTCGGGACATAAACCACCAAATGCCAAATTTTATAGTGTGTTTGGCTAGAAGGGTATGTGTGAAAGAATCAAATTAAAATTCAGCAGATGTTTCGTTGTGAAATCTCTTCTATGATATGTTCCATCCAAAAGCGAAAGGACATACTTTTGCATTGAAGCAAGGCCAATGTATGGTGTGCCGAAAGGAACCTAGCCCGTCTTTACTCAGAGCCACAACTGTATGAATGGATGGGAGAAAAAAACAGTGGTGAGGAAATGTAGATGGAGAGTAGAGAATCAGAGTTACATGAGATGTAAAATGATTTCTGAAGATAAAAATTAGGAACTGTAATGCATACATTGAAGGGGTTGTAACAGTTGGCTAGATACACTGCAGATTCTTTTCTCCCTTAGAAGCATAAATATGCCGAGCAGAACAATTTGACAGGTCTAGCAAACTAAATTGTGGGATTTCAGTTTTTTAATCCCACTCTGCTTCCCTTCACACCTCTTTTTTTTGTTGTTGTTGCTTAGTGCCCAAACCACCATTGTGCCTTGATATCTCTTTCTGTATCTGCTATAGGTAATTTCGTATTTTCTCCTGTATATTTTACCTCTCTTCTCAGAGCAAGCAGAAGCACAAAGCTGATTAAATGGCCCAAACATGAATTTACGCCCTGAATATTCGTGGTATTAATTTTGGTTGCATATGTGGTGCCAGGGCATGAGATGCAAAGGCAGAAATGTAGTACCAGGCGTAGATGATTGTACCAGCTCTTTCTGCATGTTTGGTTTGTTGGAAGAAGTTTGAGGTTATTGTGATCTGATCACCTGAAGCACTGATACCTTTTAAAACATTTGTTCATTGCATAAAGGTGGTGTTAGATTAAAATCTGAGTGGTGTTATGTGGGATTTTTTTTTTAATGTTGGTAACACTTCTGGTTTTTGTCTTAAAAGCTTATGCGGCATGGTGTAGGACTGTCGACCAGTTCTGACAGTGAACTGATCACCCAGCTGCTGGCTTTCACACCTCCTCTAGAAAATGACGATACAGCTGACTGGGTAGCAAGGTGAGGAAGATGGGTTTCAGAATCAAGAACAGCAATGTTATCTCAGCGTAATATGCAGCTGTAAATGCACACAGCTGTTAGTGTGACACACGATTATGCTCACCTATGTCTCATTTCAGAATAAAAAATTTAATGAATGAAACTCCAACTTCATACTCATTGCTAATTATGCATAAAGACATAATCTATGCAGTACGTGATCCATATGGGAATCGCCCACTCTGCATCGGTCGCCTTATTCCTGTAGGGGACATGAATGGAAAAGGTAAACCATACATATATATTCATATACACACATATACATATGTATATATATAGTTTGTGCCTGAAATCACTGATACAAGTAATCAAAGCTACACTTATTGAGGTCTAAGTAGGAATATGTGATGCAAAAGTCAGTTTTGAAAATTCAAAACAAAAAAAAAAATGTTGGTAAGGAAAAAATAATGGGTAGGGAAGTCTGCAAACATCTTTTCTGTTTCCAGCAAAAGGGAATCTTAGTTGCCTGATGACAGTGTCAGAATTAGGCAGCCCAACTGTGGTAAAAGATTTGTGAAAATCTAATTAACATCTCATTACCTAAACAGGAAAGCAGGGATGAACAGAATCACAGAAGGGTTGAGGTCGGAAGGGACCTCTGGAGGTCATCTGGTCCAAATCCCCTGCTCAAGCAGGGCCACCTTGAGCCAGTTGCTCAGGACTGTGTCCAGTCCAGGAACAAGTCTGGTTTCTTTCTTTCTCCTGTAGTAAGGTGGCTGAAAAATGCTGGATTACTGGCAATGTATTTCTAAATTCCAAGCGTGCCCAGCCACGCATATTACAGTAATGGAACACTATACAATCCATTTGTGGGAAAAAATCTTTGTATGCCTGTTTAGCCTGCAAATCAACATTTTCCATGAAGAGAGATTAAGATCTGTTCATTTGTTTAAAAACAAAATAATTCAAAGGCAAAGTAGTAAATGCGTCCATATCTTCATAAAACTTGGTAATTTTAACCACAAGAAAAATTATCAAGATTTTTTTACAGCATACAAACATTCCTTCCCTATGGTACACAATTCAATCTTTCCTGTGCCTGTCTCTAAAAACTCTCCTTACTGGAGTTCAATCAAAAGGATCTATCTATCAACACATTTAGCACAGGAAAAGTAAGGAGTTTCTTGTGTGAACAAAAGTAATTATGTACATCTAAAGTCACTGAACTGGAATTGGAAAAGTATGAAATAATGCATAGATAACAAAGGTAGTTATCTACTAAACAACAAGTTATCTACTAAAATGACCTGAGGGCTGGCTGAGAAAGTTGGGGATGTCCAGCCTGGAGAAGAGAAGGCTGCGGGGAGACCTGATTGCGACCTTTCAGTACCTAAAGGGGGCCTATAGGAAAGATGGGGAAAATCTTTTCAGTAGGGCCAGCTGTGACAGGACAAGGGGTAATGGTTTTAAACTAAAACAGGGTAGGTTTAGACTGGATATAAGGAAGAAATTCTTTACAATGAGGGTGGTGAAACACTGGAATGGGTTGCCCAGAGAGGTGGTGGAGGCCCCATCCCTGGAAACATTCAAGGCCAGGTTGGATGGCGCTCTGAGCAACCTGATCTAGTTAGTGGTGTCCCTGCCCACTGCAGGGGGGTTGGACTGGATGACCTCTAAAGGTCCCTTCCAACTCAAAGCATACTATGATTCTATGATTCAATGAATTATTTCTCTTCAGGAACAGGTTCATGATGTTTATGTTGGTTTGTTTGGTTTTTTTAAAATAATATTATAGAAACTTTGGAATGCTATACCTTTTAGTTAGAAATTACAACAGTCTTTAGTTGTGCACTTGGCAACCTAAACCATAGCAAGCCAGATACTGCAGTAGAAATGCAATTGCTGAGGGGGTGTAATGGTAACAAGAATTGTGGACTCTAACCGAAATCTTTCATTTCAGGGAAAGATAACAGTGAAACAGAAGGATGGGTAGTCTCTTCTGAATCCTGTAGCTTTTTGTCTATTGGTGCAGAGTAAGTGCCCTGATTCTCACTTTATCTGAAAGCTCTCCTCAGCCAGCAATTAAGCATTAAACCTCAAATTACGAAATATGATTATAATGACATGAAAGACATCAAGGATTAGTTTGCTGGGCTGTTGGGGGGGGGGGGGGGGGGGCGTTTGGCCAGGACTTTTTTGCCAGTTTATTTTCTTGAACAGATAAATGTAAAAGAAGATTTATGTGTTCAGCAAGTAACAGTAAAGACATCTTTACTGTTGTAAAGTAAATGCCTCTTACTTGTTGCATTAAACCTGGTTATCCATATAAGTTTTTAATTGTAGCCTTGTTCGCAGCAGAATCGTATTACAAAATAGTTCTTCAACTACAGGAAGGTTACATTGGTAGCTCACAGGCTGGACTAACCTGAGCTGTAGCATATGCTCTCTGATGAGCCAGTCTCCTTGCTTGAAAAAAATGATGGGCACCTGAAACTATTTCCATGCGTGCAAACACCCATCAGAGCCAAAACAGGAGATGACGTTCTTGTAACTCTCTAGCTAAGATACTCTGAAAAGAAAGGTGTGATACTTTCCCTGGACAAAAAGAGAAGGCTAAGAGGCTCTTCGGGAGATCGCAGATTGGGCTTTCTTGAGACAATTTATTCTACTTATGGATAAAAATAACTGTTTTCTGAAACTTCTTCAAAATCTATGTTAAGGGAAGCTTACCATGTAGGAGCATCAGCTGAATCCTGTGGGTTTTCAAAAAGGCAGTTCTGTCTAAACTTCCACTGTAGGCAGTGCTGCTGCCTGCTAATAATGCTAGTATCTGACCAGCGAATAATCACAGATTTGCTCACATCTGATTTATATCTCCAGGATATTTCAGTATTTTGGGATAGATTTAGATTGCAATTGTTAGAACAGCCACCTGAGGACTCACTAAAGGATCTAGAAAAATGTTTAATAAGGTTAAACATTGTAACATAATAAACCTAATACTATTCCATATTTCTTCAGGTATGAGAATTGGAATGTACATTTCTAGTTGGCTATACATCATTCAGAGGTAGCTGTCTGTCACCACTAGACAGATATTTCATAGAATCATTGAATCGTTTAGGTTGGAAAAGACTTTAAGATCATGAAGTCCAACTGTTAACCTAACACTGCCACTCCACCACTAAACCGTGTCCCTAAGCACCTCGTCTACTTGTCTTTTAAATACCTCCAGGGATGGGGACTCCTCCGCTTCCCTGGGCAGCCTGTTCCAATTCTTGACAAACCTTACCTGTCAGGTAGCTGTAGAGGGCAATAAGGTCTCCTCTCAGCTTCCTTTTCTCCAGGCTGAACAGCCCCAGTTCCCTCAGCCGCTCCTTGTAAGACTTGTGCTCCAGACCCCTCACCAGCTTCGTTGCTCTCCTCTGGACATGTTCCAGCAACACAACATCTTTCCTGTAGTGAGGGGCCCAAAACTGAACCCAGTATTCCAGGTGTGGCCTCACCAGTGCTGAGTACAGCGGCAGGATCACTTCCATGCTCCTGCTGGCCACACTATTCCTGATACAAGCCAGGATGCTGTTGGCCACCTTGTCCACCTGGGCACACTGCTGGCTCATATTCAGCCGGCTGTCAGCCAGCACCCCTGGGTCCTTTTTGCCAGGCAGCTTTCCAGCCACTCTTCCCCAAGCCTGTAGCGCTGCATGGGGTTGTTGTGACCCAAGTGCAGGACCCGGCGCTGGGCCTTGTTAAACCTCACACAGCTGGCCTCGGTGTCATACAGCTGACCTCAGCAATACCTTCTCTAGGTATTGGCTTGTAGGGCAGGATTTTTTTGGCAACCATCTTTATTCTTGATTATGTTTTTTATATTGCATTTTTACGTTCATTAGCTTTCATAGAAAAGTCCTCTAGTATTGATCTAGGACGAAATTATTAAAATATACTTAATCTCCATTAAGCCTGTACTAGATTGAGTACTGTACATCTCAACATACAGGAAGAATACCATAATTCTCTGGTGCTAAGTATTTACTGCTTTGGGGTATTAATTCAGACCGGTTTAGTAAGGGTCACTTGTTTTAGCATGTTGATCTTAAAACACTCCAGGTCAAATCCTAAGATAGAAGCAAATTGTCATGTTAGGATGTTCAAAAGCATTTTTTCCTGTCAGTTGAATCTTGTTTATATTTCAGAACTATCATCCAGGTTCAGGACATTTCTAAATGGTATGTATTTCTCTTTCAAGGTACTATCGTGAGGTCCTTCCTGGAGAGATTGTGAAAATTTCCAGATACGATGTCCAGACACTGGATGTTGTACCAAGACCTGAAGGAGATCCGTCAGCATTCTGCATCTTTGAATATGTTTATTTTGCAAGACCAGACAGTATTTTTGAAGGTAAGAGGATGCAAAAGATGTATCAAGCTCCTCCCTAAATAATGGGAGATGTTGTCCTGGAGAACGATGACTCTGGAAAGGATCTGGGATCATAGTAGGGTACCACTGAATGTGAGCTTGCAGAGCAGGGCTGGGACAGAATGGGTTTGCACAGTTCTTGATGACATGAAACTCACCAGGAGGAGCATGTAACATCACCTTCCTCTTCCTGGCTGTGCATGTGGCCTCACTCAGGCTGCCTGAGTAGTCCTACGGAAGGGATGAAAAGAGCCACAAACATGATTAAGGTAGAGGAAATATCCCTTAAAAGCAAGAGACTTAAGAAAGGAACTTTACTGATTCTTGGAAAACTTTCTAAAAATTAGACTTACAAAATAGGATCTGCAAAACAACTTCATCTTGGTGTTTTCTTTGCAAGAAAAGGTTATTTCAGGAAGATGCTTTTCATATAACTTGAAATATATGCATTATCTAAGTACTTGGGGCTGTCAGTCTAATGCTTTTATTATTGTTTCAGTAGAAGCCCTCAGAAATTGTCTCAGTGACGAGGTATGAGCCAGGACTCTCGTACCTAACAAACAAGCTCTTCTTTGCTTTCTATGGCCATGCCATCTGTTGATCCTATGCAGTTCCCCCCACCTTTATAAAGCCAATTTCACTCCACATCCCTTTTTTTCATGATCCTCTTACCTTTCAATATCCTTACTTCTTACATTCCTTAGTACTGCTGCTGTACCCTTTGCTGTGCCTCATCTCATCACAACACCGCCAGTTCCTTCCCATGTTGCAAATTTTTTAGGACTTTAAAAGTTTCTGAGGCCTCTTTTCCCCTGACTAAATTTGGGGTGAATTTTGCCAACTGATTCAAATTTAATAAGTGGGCAGAGGCAGACAGAAGGATTGCACAAACTTTGCTGGAGAAACCAGCCTAAAAACAGAATATGCACGTTACGAACAGGCAGGCGTAACTTCTACTCCTTTCCTCCTGTAAATAGATTTTGCTAAGATCCACGGGACCTTTAGTTAACTGATTAAGGCAAACTGGATTTTAATTCTCTGTGTAGTGATGCAAATGTGAATGTAAGAATATGACATTATGGAAGGAATTAAAAAATGACCTTGTGTGAGTGACTGCTTATTAGTTCTGTAGCTTTTCTCACTGACTTTTATTCCTGCAACTTGCCACAGAAATTTGTACAGCAAACTGAGAGGAAATCTGCATTATGTATACCAGGAAAAACACTTCTTGCTGTTCTTAGGTCAGATGGTGTATTCCGTCAGGAGAAGATGTGGGCAGCAGCTTGCTATTGAAGCACCCGTGGAAGCAGACCTGGTCAGCACTGTTCCAGAGTCTGCAACCCCAGCAGCTCTTGGTTATGCTCAAAAGGTATATGTTAACTTGCCTTTTCTTTTTTTTGACCCAAGCATATTTAGACATACCTCTTCTTGTAATGGGACATTATGGTATGGGCCATTAGAGCTTTGTATTGATAAAGCTTTATATCTTGAGTGTGCCAGGTACTCCTATTGAGTCATCTGCACTTGTTTTTTCTGTCATTATTCCACTATATTAAAGTATTTCAAGGTTCTTTGGTTACTATGAAGTCACGCTAAGGTTGCTTTAAAGTGAGGATATCCAGTTTTATAGATATTAATTCTGTTTAATTGTCTCCTGTTTACAGTGCGGACTGCCATACGTTGAAGTACTCTGTAAAAACCGTTATGTAGGAAGAACATTTATCCAGCCAAATATGAGGTTACGGCAACTTGGTGTTGCAAAGAAGTTCGGCGTTCTGTCTGATAATTTTAAAGGCAAGCGAGTTGTTATCATTGATGATTCAATTGTGAGGGGCAATACCATTTCACCCATAATAAAACTACTGAGAGAATCAGGAGCCAAAGAGGTAAGTTAATTTTCAGTCAGTACAATACACATGTAAAGAGAAGATTGATGGGAGGGTGAAGCACAGGGCTTTGTCTTCATTTGTACTCTACATTGTTCCCATATTTAAAAGGGCAACTGTGCAAAAAACCAACAGCTAGTGCATGTTTATTGTGAAGACAGGTTGAGAAGTTTCTTTTGTAAGACTGTGATTTTTGGGACATTAAGGGGGGAGGAACAGGTCTCCGTTTATGAAGTGCTATCTGGCAAACAAAGAGAGACTGGAAAACAGATTAATTAAGATCAGAAAATCAGGTATTTATTGGTGTGGTATTCCTGACATACGTGTGACTTGTGGTACTACATTAAGTACAGCCACATACTGCAGTAAACAGGCATGTGCCTGAAGTCACCAGAGCACAAAATTTTTAATTAAGTTTTTTTAATTAAAACAGAATATGCAAGCCTGTCACTGGAGAAAACATGTTCTGTATAATATTTGACTTTGTAAACTGAAACATGTGCTGCATCAAGGATTGAACACCGTAGAAGAAAAGCAAAATCAGGACGGAACCTTTTAATAACATTAGGAAACACTGTAAAAATAAATTCTAAACCTGTCTTTCTCTCTCCTGCTGTGTTGGCACCTGAAAAAAACTTTATCTTACTTTTAACCCTTCCACGACTTCTGTGTAGTGCTGTGTTCTGTTCTTCATGATTATTTTACAGAAATGGGACTTTGCCATTATGTTACGGTCTGCTGACCTTTACCCTTTAGCAGTCTGATTTGAAACTGTATTTTTATTCAGGTGCACATCCGTGTGGCTTCACCTCCCATAAGATTTCCTTGTTACATGGGAATAAACATTCCAACTAAAGAAGAACTCATTGCCAACAGACCTGAATTTCATGATCTTGCAAACTATATAGGTAACTGCTACTTTTTCTTTTCTTTTTTTGAGAGAGATTTTACCTGTAGGCATTTTATTGTCTACATCAAAATATAGGACAACACATCAAGGCAACAGTGGCAAAACTGACTAAAAAATCATAAGGTTGACACAATAAATTTCTGCATTGTGAGAACCCTACAGATCAAACCAATTTAGTTACACGCTTTTTTTTAACACAGTGAATGATATTTCTCCAAACAACAGAACGCATTAGAATAATTGCATAATCATAAGTTACAAAGAAGGTGTGACAACATAGCTTTCCAATACTTAAGAGCTCCTTCTGGGGCAGTCAACAAGGAGCTACTGTAGGCAAAATATCAGGAAGAAAATATGCAGTGAAAAACTGTCCTGTAATGAAAAGCTAATGTACTTTCACTTCCATGAGATATTCATAAAAATATGTTCGGAATTTGTAAACACCCACTGATTTTTCTACAAATTTAAATTTATGTAAATAATTCTAACTGCATTATATATTTCACTTTGAAAGAAATTATATTTGAAACTAATCAAAGAATGTTAAATACATTCTCAAATCTCTAGAGTGAGTCATGTTTGCAGCAGAACAAAAGAAGAACCAACAGCTTATGTTGCTTGTGATGTGGTAAATAATGTGCTCTTCATCAGGATAGCAGCAGCAGAAGTCGTGTGAAGGCTTGTGAATGAGGAGATCTACTATAATATGGGCTATTGTGCTGCAAAATATTTTAAAGATGGTTTAAGAACATAGCTGTGGTTACCACTTGGGAAACTGTAAACTCAGATTTCCTGTGTTAATTACTTACTGTCTACTGTTGCAATGAATTATTTTCCCCCAAATTATTGTGAAGGCATGTTTTAATATCTCAAGTTTGTAGGATCTCATTTTTAAGTATCATTCACAAAATAGTGAGTGCAAATGATAGAAAACTAATGAAAAGGCTATCAAAATTTCATACTGCTAGAACATTTGCATGAACTGCAGATTGAATTTTTTTTAACACGATGGACTTGCCCTCCTCCAAGTCCCAGTAGGGGTTCGTAGTCCTGGGTGTGCAGTTTGGGAAGCACACAGCTGCTTCCAGACCCAAACCAGAGGGTGGCTCTGGGAAACTATAGGGAGTTTAGGGAGTCTCAACACACGCTCTGGATTTTGTTTCTATTTTTGCAGTGTGTGTGACCTATTTGTTCCCCACTCAGAACCTTCTGTCTAGCTTTCAGTGAGTCTGCTCCCCGCACAAAGAATTTGAGAAGGGCAAAGCTTATTATGGTCTGATAATTTTTCATATCAGTTCTCTCTAGGTAAGGTCATCCCTCTCCATACAGTAACGCATCTGCCATTTCCCAAGAGCATTGCATTTGGTGCAGTACTGCAGCTGTAACTGATGAATTCTTTATTTCCTCTAGGAGCAGACAGCGTTGTCTATCTTTCTGTGGAAGGGCTGGTATCGTCCGTGCAAGAAAGCATCAAAGCAAGACAAGAGAATGAGAACAAACTTAAAAGCCAGAAATCGCGTGTTGGGAAGATTGGTCATTGCACAGCGTGTCTCACCGGAGAGTATCCTGTAGACCTAGAATGGTGAATCTTTAGTGGATGGACACCAGTTCATCTCTTGTTGAATGTACCTTTTTCAAAGATGCCTTCTCGCTAATAGTCATCTTATTTAGGTAATAGGGAAATCTTATTACAATTGCCGTTACTAAAATACATCTTTATGGGACAGACTTACAGGAAGTCTGATGTGCTGATGAAAACAATGTAAGCAGGTTAAAATACAAAATCATAGTTTTGATGCATAGTTGTGCCTTCTATTTTCTCATAAAATACTATAAAAACCAAAGTTTTTTAAATTAGGTAGCGGTCCCAGAGTTTTTTGTTTCGGTCTTGCCCCAAAAGATATCCCCGTTAGTCTTGTTCACAAAGTACAGATCGCGAATCGTGTGGTGCAATTTCAAATTATCCAAGTCTTAATGCAAAAAAATACGTGAAGTTTGCTTTTCTCCTTAGGAAAAACACCAGATTCTGAAGAATCAAATTGCTTCCTCAGCAGTTCTTGCTTAGGGTTTTTAAGAATAGAAGTGCCTAGCTTTGGCATATACAGCTAAACAGCCTTTATTAACCAAGCCCTTTGTAACAGATTCTCTGAACGTAATGCCTAGCACATGATTTTAAAAAAACGAAGACTCAGGGAAATGCTCAGCCAAAAGCTCTCTAGTTTTATAACCTTAAAATTCTTTGTTTTGAAGTCCGGTGTAATTACATTATCTTTGTCCGCTTTTATCGGTTGCCAATAGGAGCTGGAAGGAGAAAAAAATACTTGGCGCTGCCATTTTTTTTTCTGTTTTACATCTCGTTTTCTCCAGGATAAGTCCTGACAATTTCTGAAGTCTGAGCTAATGCTCACTGTGCTTTTTGTATGTCAACATCCAAAGTAAAGTGAAAAATAGTCACTTCTCATTTGCAACAGTAAATACACCAGCTGAAGATTGTGAGTTGTTTTGGCTGTAGTTTTATTTTGCTACATTACTGCTGTTACAATAAATGTAATTTTTTTTTTTTTTTTAAAAAAAGAGTTCTGAAGAACCATTAGCTATTGAATACATTGTATTTTTTAATTGGTCACAATTGCACAGTTATACATGAAGATCACTTGGGCAATGAACCACTACCTGAAAATGGAAAAGCACCTTTTGAAAACTATAGCAAATTTACGCACAACTGTAAAATTATTTTGTATACCTCAGGTTTTTTCACTGAATGTCAGCAACTTAATTTTAGATTTTCTATTTAATATTGTGTGTTTTGGCCTTATAATTGTTTGTGACACTGTTAAAAAAAAATAAAATAAAATAGAAAAGAGCTTCTTCCTTTCCCATCATCTCCCACATAGTTGAGAATTACAGCACTGGTGATTAAATTCAAAAGGGAGCTTTCTTACGTGGGATTTGTAGCAATTGTGCCTGTTTGACAATCACAAAAAAAGTTCCAGTCCAAGAAAACGTGTAAGTACATTTAATGAAGTCAAGACTCTGCCTCGTGGAATCGGAACCTACTTGCAGTCAAGCCTACGGGAGAATCCAGATTTTCACGAGCGTTGGGCTCTGACTGTGTGTTCTTCACCAAAGCCCAGGTCTGCATGTTGTGGGATGCGAGCAGAGCTCTTCTCTCTAATTAGCAAGTTTTTTTGGTTGTTTAACAGAACCATAGCAGCTCACCTGGGCAGTAAACTGGGCAAAAAAAGAACAGGGTGGAGTCACTCTGACCACCCCTGCTTCCAGATTAACCAGGGAGGAGCGTGAGAAAACAGGAAAACTACCATTAGCATTTTCCACCTTTCATTTTTCCTGCCCTCAAAAAAAGCAATCATTTTTAAAAGAAGGGGCAAGTCAAGCTCTTAGGTTACAGGTATGTGTGAGGAGCCCTTTCTACTTTGAGAGAAAAGCTTGGGTGTGCAGTTTAACATGGTTGCAAGCAGAAGTCTTATCGATTTATCTGACATTGTCTATAGAACTGACTGTAAATGAAATTTGTGCAAATGCTCTTTTAACACGTTTTCAACAAAACTGGTATTTTTGAAGTCTGGTAATGATTGCTTAATTGTGATTTAAGCCTAGGTGGCATAATTCTGGTTTCAATAAAATGGGTCTTAATGCCTTTTTTGCCCTCCACCTTACACATGTGAAATTACAAGGTCTGCTACTGTAAGCACTGTAATTTTTTAGATACACTACATGCCTAGTCTTTAGTACATTATTTTTCAAAGCCTTAAGTTAAAGGGGAGATACTTTTCAAGTGTCATTTTATTCTCCGACAGCTGGATTTATGCATTGGGTCACCGGGCCCTTATTTTAAATCACGTACAGTGGATGCGCGTGTGCAACGAGCATGTTGAGGGAGAAAGCTCCTCTGGGTTTAGGTGTTGCTATTTGTATTATTTTAATGTTTTACTGTGACCTTGTTTCTGCTGTACTACCAACACACAACTGTGCCAAACCGTCATTTACAAAATGTGGCAAAATGGTAGAAAGCTGATGTCTAACTTCTCCCATGCATTAACATTAAAAATGGTTATAAACCGGGCAGCCCGTTCCAATGCTTGACAACCCTTTCAGTGAAGAAATTTCTCCTAATGTCTAGCCTAAACCTGCCTGGCGCAGCTTCAAACCATTCCCCCTCATCCTATCATCCGTTACTGGGGAGAAGAGGCCGACCCCCACCTCACTACAGCCTCCTGTCAGGCAGTTGTAGAGGGCGATCAGGTCTCCCCTCAGCCTCCTCTTCTCCAGGCTGAACAACCCCAGTTTCCTCAGCTGCTCCTGATCAGACTTGTGCTCCAGAGCCCTCACCAGCTTTGTGGCTCTCCTCTGGACACGCTCCAGCACCTCAATGTCTTTCTTGCAGTGAGGGGCCCAAAACCGAATACAGTATTTAAAGTGCAGCCTCACCAGCACCGAGTACAGGGGCACGATCAGTTCCCTACTGCTGGCCACACTATTCCCGATACAAGCCAGGGTGCCATTAGCCACCTTGGCCACCTGGGCACACTGCTGGCTCATGTTCAGCCGGCTGTCAACCAGTAACTGCAGTCAACTTCGCTGCGCTCGCCGGCCCTACGCATGCAAGGCTTCTTTAGTGAAGCCACCCTGAAAGCGCCCTCGAAGCTGGAGCAAATAAATTCGTATCTTGCATTAAATCA